AAATATAAAAGTTGTTTAAGAAACTGTCATCATTTATTTGTGCGTTTTCCAAGTTTGTTACAAGGGCGCGTTGGCAACTAAAGGAACAGCGCCAAAAGCGAGATGCACGCGCATTAGTGACGTCAGAGACATGTGATTACTGCTGATTGACAAAGTGAGAGAAAATGAAAGTCTATAATTTACAAAGTGTATGATTTCTTCAAGGATGAAAATGACAGGGGGTGACCCAAGTATGCAATTACTAAGTACATACAGCGCACTGCCTGTGCAGCTGGGGTACGTGTCATCTCGCCAGCTCAAAGATTTGTTGAGAACCCGTTAACGCACGTGCATCTCGCTTTTCGCGCTGTTCCTTTAGGTGCCAATGCGCCCTTGTAACAAACTGGGAAAATGCACAAATAAATGATGACAGTTTCTTAAACAACTTTTTTATTTTGTGACACAAATTATGCAGTTGTTTTCTAGAGTTGGTCTGTTGTTTTTATTGCAGTCCGCGTTGGTTTGATTCTTTTATGTCTATTTGTGTTTGTGTTAGATTGCAATTCATCGGTATCATTTTGTCTCAAACGGACTGTAAGATACCGAACCCAGTCAGAGAGGGTGGGTGTGCACTCAAGTGTAACGGCTGGTTCATTTGCAGATGCCCTCACGGCTCATTGTGTGTGTTTATATAGAGATGTTGGGTTTTGTAAATACATGCTCATTTTTTGTGTATAACATTTTGCAATCAACAGACATCATAACATGTCATGTGTTCAAGTATCACACCTGCCTGTCTATGTAATTACATCCATGCTTAGAATAAGCTGGGATATTTAAACCAAATTTGACCCCACACCATAGTTTTCTGTTGAATCAATGATTTGATCCTTAGCAAAGTTTGAATAGTATATGCACCTGTGTATACTTACACTCGTGCAGAATCACCTACGTATAAGGTGTGCAATCGAACTGGGTTTTCGAAATAATTCTTTTACCTGCCAGTTTGCTTTGATTTCTGTTTGTAGAAACATTTAGTCACGGTGGATCAAATTGCATCGTTTTGGTAGACATCATGTGTGACTGATATATTGTTTTAACTGAAGACGCCCTACACTGACTCAGCTGGGTCCGTGGTGAAGTGGCGATCGTTGTCCCGCGCATTGCAGTGTATATGTACACAGTCTCACTCCTCGACAACCGAGCGACTATATAGATTTAGTAGCCGAGCTTAGTCCTGTTGTTTCTGTGGATACAGAAGATCGATAGCCACGCCCCCATCGACTGTATATTATATACCATAAAAGGTAACGGGAGTCCAATATAACCATCAGTGTCAGGTTATTAATAGTCCTATGTAGCATTAACGTGGTGAGAGGCCAGAGTACAGCCTGTTCCACTAAGTGACTGTAGGTATGAATGTGTACTGGCATATCCAGGCGCTGGTATATGGATCTATTTATAGAACCCCGTGAGAAGATATCCGTGTAGTACTCAGTGTTGTAAACATACCCTACTACTCTACACCATGACAGGGGAGGTTTGTTTGTTTGTAGGACGGTGGCTGGTAAATAATCTAGTGGACCAGACAAGTCAGTGATCGATACGCACAGCCATCCCGGCACGGATACAGTGACAAGCCTCTTACGACAAGCATAGTGACGGTGGGGTAGCCTAGTGTTTAAAACGTTCGCTCGTCACGCTCAAGACCCGGTTTCGATTCCAAACATGGGTACAATGTGTGAACTTCTTCTTCTGGAGTGAGTGAGCGAGGTTAGTTTTACGCCGCACTCAGCAAATATTCCAGCTATATGGCGGCGGTCTGTAAATAATCGAGTCTGGACGAAACAATCCAGTGATCCACAGCATGAGCATCGATCTACGCAATTGGGATACGATGACATGTGTCAACCAAGCTAGCGAGCCTGACCACCCGATCCCGTTAGTCGCCTCTTACGACAAGCATGGGTTACTGAAGGTTCATTATAGCCCGGACCTTCACGGGTCTCTTCTTCTGGAATATTGTTAAACATACTCACTCAGTCAGTCTTGAGCGCCAGGCAAGACAACTAAAAGTACCTTTTAACGCTTATTTGTCAGTATATCTAGGGGATGAAATCCAACAAGACGTCTATCCACTAGACCACCTTCACATGATACAGCAGCTATTTATATCCCTCTTTCCATCATATCACCTATAACACTGATGAGTGAGTGAGTGAGTTTAGTTATACGCCGCTTTTAGCAATATTCTGGCAATATCACGACGGGTGACACCAGAAATGGTCTTCACACATTATCTTCGGTGTGACGAGCGAACGTTTTAACCACAAGGCTACCCCACCGCCCTATAATACTGAGGATGGTCCATGATGCTGTCAGTGTAGGACTGCATGAGATCCGTATATAGGTTGTAATTACCCTATAGATGCTTGATATGTATGGTTATGGTACAAATACCTGTGAACATAGAAGGCGGGATTGGGTGTGCGATTACGCCGCTTGCCGCTTGTTTAAATATTATTATGACATGATCTCTTTACGAGGCAGAAGGCAGGCAATGTCAAAGTATAAAATAACAGCAAGTAGAGAAATGGAGAATCTCTTCTCCGTGTCCTTGAATATCAAATGTATCACCATGAGTCAATAAACGTGTTTAACAGATTATCAGTGAGTGTTAGTGCATGTGTCAACGCGTGGTGTTCGTGCGTCGACTGGGGAATTAGCTCATGTTTAAGATGAAGTGTACGTAGAATACGTTGATGAGACGAAGGAATACGTTGAGCTCAAACTTCTTCAGTTACATGACAAACAAATACACAAGACATAAATAAGGTTAGCGGAGTTCCTGCTCAACCACAGGGCGTTTCCTACGAGCGGCATTATCCTGCTCGTGGTCGTCCCAACAGACAGTCGGAATACCGGACTCGTACCCTTTTTGTGTCTAGATGTGAGCATACTAAGTATATATATACAGTTTTTGACAACAATGGACAGGCGATAACTAATCAATGGACAGACAGAAAAACAATAGCACTTCCTTGACCAGTTGATGTGATGGCAGACACGGCCAAGGGGGATTACCGATGAAGGTTATTAATGTCCTATACAATAATTAATGGGCTGACAAGTCAATGTACAATGCGGTAGTGATAAGGATGAACAGTACTGATTAAAAATACAGTTTAGCGTCATATATATATTACAATAAAGTCTCACATGTCTTCAGTACATAGTTTTGGACTTTTCAAATATTTGGACGATGGTTGGCCTGAGTTTAGTCCCTATAACAAATGTATTATGAAAGACACGAGGGGAGATTCCACTTACAACCTAAACCTTTCTTACTACTATTCTGGTGTGTAAACAGTTTATCAGTGAGTGTTAGTGCATGTATTATGAAAGACACGAGGGGAGATTCCACTTACAACCTAAACCTTTCTTACTACTATTCTGGTGTGTAAACAGTATATCAGAGCATTGGTTTATGGTGCAAAAATGTGAAACAAGTCGACCGGAGGTACAGTAAGATGTTCTTGGTGTGGTTGGAAAGCAAGGCATCTCTAGCGTTCCATAAGGCTGTAGCTGTCTAAAGGAATGTTGAAAGACTTGACAGTGTCAGGCAACATGTTCTGTTGGTGCGTTTGATATATTAAGGGATATGTCTTCACTATTAATAGTTCTTTTATCATCTTTGAGAATAGATGTATTTCCAGTAGACTCCAATGAACAGTGGAACACAGAAAGGTCAGGTTCAAACATCAGGTCACCCCACGGATTTGTTGCTATTATTGCTAAACTTCTGAGGGGTATTTCGCATCTTGCTTAACTGCGGAGTGCATTATAAGTACAGCGTCAAGTATTTAGTATCATAAGACATCCCACAGACTACTTTCTGAAAAAATACATTTTCAGGCCATCATACGTCACCATGTATTGTTATTAGCGTTATAGAAATGCATTATATAATGACTCATGTAAATACATATTATCTTCCAAGGATGTTTACAGGTGTTCATGTTATCCCTCCTTAGTATCATAAATACATGTGAGATTCCAAGCTTTACATGTTGCTGTACCTCCGGCAGACCTGTCTCGTTCCTTTGCCTTCTACTAAAGGTTACACCTGGTTCAGTAATAACCAGTTTTTCTAGTGAGTGTAGATACGTGATGTCATATGACTGTTTGATGTCGTCACAATGTTACATATAGCAGAGAGTGTAGATACGTGATGTCATTTGACTGTTTGATGTCTGTCACAATGTTACATGTAGCAGAGAGTGTAGATACATGATGTCATTTGACTGTGTTTGATGTCGTCACAATGTTACATGTGGCAGAGAGTGTAGATACGTGATGTCGTTTGACTGTGTTTGATGTCATCACAATGTTACATGTAGCAGAGAGTGTAGATACGTGATGTCATTTGACTGTTTGATGTCGTCACAATGTTACATGTAGAAGAGAGTGTAGATACGTGATGTCATATGACTGTTTGATGTCGTCACAATGTTACATGTAGCAGAGAGTGTAGATACTTGATGTCATTTGACTGTTTGATGTCGTCACAGTGTTACATGTAGCGACCAGGAGATATTGTTTAATATCACCAAAGCGGTATTTTCGGAGAAAGTAATTTTCGTGACAAAGACTGGACGAAATGTTGTTGGATTCTTGTCATGATAATGGCTGACAGTTTACCAATTGTAACAACCAATGCTTAAACACAACGTTAAATGTTTTGGAATTGTTATGTGATGTCAAGTACGAAGGTTGTCTCGAGGTTTCCATGCATATTTAACACGGGTTCTTCGTGTGGTTATCAATGATATTTCAAGCTGGGAGGAAATGGTGAAATACCCTGGCCAGGTATTGACTGGGCTGAAAGTCAGTGGAAGACGGGTGTGTAAAACAACGGAACCTGACACGTAGTCACATGGACACCGCTGTCGCTGGCTATTGACATATGTGTCATAATTATAGAAACACATTGCACCCTTACATCACTAGGAAGGCAGACAAATGTAATGATGTGTTTTTTATTGACAAGTTTTTGACAAAGTAAGCAATGACATGATGTTTAAACTCCCTTTGTGATAACATTCACGTGCTGGTCCCGGAGCAGAGAACGTTTGCTCTCGAATAACAAACTGAGTCAGTCTGGTTAAAATAACAGTGAAAGACGACATGATTCACACAGTCAAATTTTAGAAGCACTTCCTGTGCACAATGGAAGGGCCGGACTCATCGTACTCCTGCTTGCTGATCCACATCTGCTGGAAGGTGGACAGAGAGGCAAGGATGGAGCCACCGATCCAGACGGAGTATTTCCTCTCTGGGGGAGCGATGATCTTGATCTTCATTGTGCTTGGGGCAAGGGATGTGATCTCCTTCTGCATTCTGTCGGCGATACCAGGGAACATGGTAGAACCCCCTGAGAGAACAGTGTTGGCGTACAAGTCCTTACGGATATCAACATCGCACTTCATGATGGAGTTGTATGTTGTCTCGTGAATGCCAGTAGATTCCATTCCGATGAACGCTGGCTGGAAGAGGGCCTCTGGACAACGGAACCTCTCGTTTCCAATGGTGATGACCTGACCGTCGGGTAACTCGTAGCTCTTCTCCAGGGAGGATGAAGAAGCAGCAGTTGTCATCTCCTGTTCGAAATCAAGCGCGATGTAAGACAATTTCTCTTTGATGTCTCTGACGATTTCTCTCTCAGCGGTGGTGGTGAAGGAGTAACCACGCTCAGTGAGGATCTTCATCATGTAATCTGTCAGGTCACGACCGGCAAGATCCAACCTCATGATGGCGTGGGGAAGAGCGTAGCCTTCATAGATGGGGACAGTATGGCTCACACCATCACCAGAGTCCATAACGATACCTGTCGTACGACCAGAAGCATATAAGGAGAGGACGGCTTGTATAGAAACATACATAGCTGGAGAATTGAAGGTCTCGAACATGATCTGGGTCATCTTTTCACGGTTGGCCTTGGGGTTGAGGGGAGCCTCTGTCAGGAGGACGGGGTGCTCCTCTGGAGCCACACGGAGCTCGTTGTAGAAGGTGTGATGCCAGATCTTCTCCATGTCGTCCCAGTTGCTTACAATGCCGTGCTCGATGGGGTACTTAAGTGTGAGGATACCTCTCTTGGACTGAGCCTCATCTCCAACATAGCTATCCTTCTGTCCCATACCGACCATCACGCCCTAACAAAGGAAATATGTCAATAAAATATTGATGGAACATAAATATTTCACAACAAACAAACTACCATAAGCTTAAAACGCAGGGGAAACGTGAAGTCGACTTAAAGTATCGCGATGAAACGTCTATCACAAGTAGCATATTTCAGTTGCTGCTGTTCATCACCTTGACCCATCTCCAGTACCCTTGACGGTCCTAGCTAGCACCCGACCACGGTATGTGACTGAACGCATCTTATAGACCCTTTCTTCGTATTAACGAGACTTTTGGAGCTTTAACACAAGGTTTAGTTAGCTGAGATTAGACATGTCCTCATGTGAACAGGCAGTCATCTTATGCCTTTAATGTTCAAGCTAGGTATTAAAAGACACCTAAATAGTACAGTGGAATCTGTCAAATCCGACTCTTTGTAAACCGGGTTTCTCCATAATCCGCACTACTCTCTGATTCCCGGCAAAATTGTTCTTAATTTATCACTAAAGCTTGCATTATAATCCGGACACTCCCAATTACGGATTACGGACTAAAATAATTGTCCCGACAATCAACTTGCTATGAGAACAATGCTTTGTAATCCGGACGTACATGGTGTTACAAAATATATATGAATGAGGTTCCAACTACCAAGCTGTCCTAGATTATGTTGCACAAATAGAACCTTTATGTTGCTCTAATTGATCGCCATCACATATCTCGAGGGTGGTGAAAGTTTACCTGATGTCTCGGGCGACCGACGATGGAGGGGAAAACGGCCCTTGGAGCGTCGTCACCGGCGAAACCGGCCTTGCACATGCCGGAGCCGTTGTCGATAACCAATGCAGCAACATCATCATCCATGGTTAGTGTTAGGTAATAACGTGAAAAATCAAATTATAACCGGGTGTTGATGTGTTACTCCCCTGTTGAAGGCCACTGTAATGCAACAAGTCTTCACTCTGTGTCTTAAATAGGCCACCAAGCACCTTGTCTCCACTCTCAATGTCCATATATGGTAGCATTATGAGTCCATATTCCCTATAAGTCCTCGAATCAACATTGGTATATCCATGTATAGCTGTTGGAGTGAAAGTACGCCGGACAGATAAGTGTGTTGTGTCGGTGCTGTATATCATCGACCTACAAACTGCCTGTATCACTCAGTCCTATAACTATTTTATCTGCTATAAAGCCAGTGAGGGCCGGGAAAGTAACTCTATGAGCCCCGAACCTGCATAACTGTTCTGATGTCTTAAGGGAATTTCATACAGGGCAAACTTTTCGGGGACTATCGGTTCACTAGACCAGTTTACTGTATAGACTAAGGTTTCATGTCTCAGTGTACATCCAAGACGTGGTATAACAGACTGCCAGCCGCCATGTCATGTAGACTACAGTAACAGCTATCACATCCTGGAGGTGCTAGACTATGTGAGGGAAATATGTTGGCCACTTTGACTAGTTTGCCTTTTGTAATGTGGCAATGCTTAAAATTATTTTACTTTTACATTTACTCGGTATATTGAAATATTCCTATATATATATTTATAACTCATTTAATAATCTCTATTTATATATCCAACACATAACAGGTTAACCAAAATCTTACAGCTTACGGTCCTGCGTAATACAGGCTCTGTCAGGTGTATATAGCATACGTTCACCTCGGTCACATTCCCTAATACGGACATATACTGAAGGCATGGCGATTTGTCAGTGTTATTAATAGATTATGCTCGTCATTTGTACAATAAACATTATAAAAGGAGGCTGCATCTAACATTTTTTCAAAGGTAACAGACATATGAAATATATTTAAGCAGTGGTGTTTGAATTGATTCCATTATTGTGGTGGAACCATTTTGTTTCACTTTGTTTCACTTTGTTTCTTGTGTGTGAATTGGTGCCGCGCCAATCAAGGCTGACAGAGTTGCTCCCCTTTGACCCTGTCACAAGCCACATTTCGTGCTGCCAGTGTTGTTTAAATGTTTAGGCGCAGTATGCCTTCCTGTCTACACTCTCCCTCATAGTGTTTAGGATCGCACGGGCTCGGTTGCAAACGTTCAGCCAGAAGAAAATCGTAGACAGACTGGGATCGTACCTATTAGTTCAGGTTAGTTTAGAAAAAAAACAACAGAAAGAGGTCTTGGAAAGACAGCTGCTTTAATTTAATTCGGGGAGGTTTGAGATATGACGTGATGGATTTTTAAAGGCGCATCACCAAATAAAACACAAGGTCGTCAGAGAGGTGACAAGAAAGACATGCGTTATGTAAATGAGGAATCGAACTGTAAAAAAAATTCTGGAAGAAAGTGATATTAGTGATAAGAGTCGGGTGTGTGTTGGCAGTTATGACCCTGATTTTGTATAGGTACCGAAGCACACAGAGTGCACGGGTCCTCCTCAAACCCGGAAGTTGAGTTTGCTGGTGTAGGGTATCATCAGTTTCCATGTTGTTGGTACTTTACTACTTGTTGGTGGCAATACTCATGCCCGAAAATGTATAGATGACACTGACAATAATTTGTGGCCTGTAAAACAGTGTACGAAACTTACGCTGGTCCTTTGGTCCCTGGCTAGTAAACATTCATCATGACTACTATATCATAAGTTTGCAGTGGTTGCCAGTGAATTTTGTACTGATAGGTAAGTAAATCTACAAATGTTATTTTGGACCAGTGAGTACAGACAGAACCACTAATTATTGTCCACTCACTGGTCCTGTGGTCTGGTGGGAAATTTTGAAAGGTTTCTTTTCCTTGTATTAGCCAGACATTTCCCTGACAATCAATATGCCTTACAAGATGACAATGCGCCAGATCACAGAGCCAACAGTGTCGTCCGACACTTCACTGCTGATAATGATAAATGCGATAGAAACCATTGAAGATAATACAGAATGTGTGGTTAAAATTGAAGACACAATTACAGAACACAGGGTATATAGACGTTACCGCCGTTAATCAGCTGCCGGGCGCGATTCACCTGACATTATTGGTGGACTCTATGAATCCATTCCACGGTGATAAGGTAAAGTTCTGGTTATGAAAGGGCATCTGGCATCTGGCAAAGTACTGGTTAGGTGAATCATATTTCCTTTGATAGTTAACTCTTTTGATAATCGAATTCAAATGTAAACAAACTGCGGCCACGTCGAATCGTCCGGATATAACTGACACGAGCCTGTAGACTTGCCCAATCAGTTTACACTTGAGTTGAACGCCTTTGTTTGAGTATTCTCAGGAGTTCGGTTCGAAATTAAGTATTCAGTTAAATCAAGTTACCTTGGTGGATATTTTTTAAAAAACAGACCGTATTTAAAAACGTTTTATATCTTTTGGTTTCTGAAACAGGGCAACCTCACTGAAATACAGTAAACTGCAAATGTTCACGAACCAGATAACACATACTTGTGTGTGTGTGAGATGATTTTAAGAGGGGGTTGGGGGTGGAGTTTCACCCATTTTGTTCTGGGAAGGTGGGTGGCATCAATTCTGTGACACATCTACTGGGGGCAGCTATCATGTAAATGAAAATATTCCAATGATCATGCTTAACAATTATGGGGAAGAGGCGGGCATTGATTTTGTACATGACATTTGGGGTGGGTGGTTGTCACTTACTTTGTACATAAATCTTAGGGGGGTCATTCACATTGTACATGCTCCTCCATCAAAATCATCATCATCACCCCCACCCCACCATAAATTATGAACGGTCCCTAAGTTCACGTACAATGGGGGAACGCAGTAGTAGTATTGGCAGAGTTGTCTCCCTTACACCACGCAGCTTCATACAAACTGAGCAGGTATCTTGGACAGCGCGTTGATCTGCAAGGTTCATGACGGCGGGGTCTATCTATTCCTGGTTTGGAAGGGAAAATCTAACCCGTAGTCACGCAGAACCGTTTATCTTTGAGAATTAATTAGTCCCTGAAACCTTTTCCACCTTTCCATTGCATGTATTCAGTTTGTAGGGTGAAGTAGCACTGTTGTGGTTCAGAAGAAGTGTGACCATGAGAGTGTTATCGTGTTTGGGATATTAACCCCCATCTGATATACTGGTAGATGATATAAAATCTACCCGAGTGATGAATTTCTTTTGTTATATAAAAGAATGTCGTATACTGGATCATTCCAGAAATTCCAATCTCTGAAAACTATTTCACTGGTATCATGCTGTTATAAACGTCATGTCCTAAGAGTGACTAGTAAACAAGTAACACTGTATAACATCAAATTGTTATTTGAAAAGATATAAAAATAACCCTAAAGTAATTTGCATGAAATCTGATTTCACGTATACATTTTGCATGAAATTTGATTTCACGTATACATTTATAACACATAACAGGTTAACCAAACTCTAACAGTTTACGGTAACGCATAATACAGGCTCTGTTATGTGTGTATAGCACACGTTCACCTCGATTACATTGGAATTTCCCTTATACGGACATATAAACTGAGGGCACCACACGAGATTCCTCCATGTGTGCGATTCACATGAAGCTCTGTCGTGTTGAGGGGCGGTGGGGTAGCCCAGTGGTTAAACGTCCGCTCGTCACGTAGAAGACCCGGGTTCGATTCCCCACATGGGTATAATGTGTGAAGCCCATTTCTGGTGTCCCCCGCCGTGATATTGCTGGAATATTGCTAAAAGCGGCGTAAAAGTAAGACTCCTTCATTCTGCCGTGTTGGGCGTTAACAGTGCTTCCTTGTATGGCTGCTGCTACGATGTTCATCAGCCATTCGGTCCCCCCAGATTCCATACCTGACACAACATATCTTCAAGCACCTGCCACATCTACCGGGGATTGTTGACATCCATGCTCGCATTTAGCTAAATATGATACACACGATAATGAATCTTGAAATGTTATTATGAACCGCCATGGATGTATGCCTGGAAATCTACATAACCTACCGAGGACTGGCGTATGGGGCTTACACGTGCGTGTGGAGGGAGGAGGTATACAGGTGTGTATAGATTCATGGTAAGTTACACTCTGGTCTTAATGGATGTCGGCACCCCGTGTGCCTCTATGTACTGTACGAGTAACTAGAAGGATGTAGTGAGAATGTGTGTAACGATGCGAGTGAATGAGTAAGTTTAGTTTTACGCCGCTATTAGCTGGGGGGGTACACCAGAAATGGGCTTCACACATTGTACCCATGTGGGGAATGGAACCCGGGTCTTCTACGTGATGAGCGGACGTTTAACCACTGGGCTACCCCACCGCCCATGTGTAAGGATGTACTACAGTATTGTTGATGCATTGGTGTCCTGAGAGTGCACCGAGTGAATGTTGTGTAATGCCGCGGTCATCCATAGTTCTGCAATATCTTGGTGGTTGTAAGAAAGTATGGGTGGGACATATGGTAACAGAACGCGGGGAAGATCCAGGTGCAGGTCACCGTGACTGGCGACATGAGCCTGTTATTAAACCAGGGGCGGAAGACACCGACCCAGAATTCACCTCAAACTTCCCCGAAGTGTCAGTCTTACACTTCTAACTTAACAACATACTCCATTCATATGTGGCCTAGTTGTTGTTTCTCATGTAAACAACACGTTGTACCTTTCAGTAATTAAGTCGGGCGGAATATAACTGGACGTGCAATTAACCACAACCGGAACAGTCAACACGCTGTTGATTGCACTCGGCATGTAATATCAGTGATCACACTGAACATCACTGTAATATAGCCACATTTAACGGAGTTTCTGCAGTGGATAGCATGATCATCCCTCATGTTTAACAAGTTTGACGTTTAATGTTGCATCCTTGTGTGGTGGCAATAGATTTCCTATGCGCAAAACACGTCTTCCTCGTATTCTGGTCAAACACTCAATAACGTTTGATGATTGCATACAAAATAACGAGGCAAAACTGAAAAGATATTTTTTTATTTGTTTTTTTTTTCTTTTAAAAAATATAACAAAAGTTCATGAAACAATAAAATAAATTGCCGTTCATTATGTCCAACAGCCGTAGGGAACCCAGCAGGGGGTCCCTCGGAGATGGGTCCACCCCACACGGAGCTCCCCCCGACCGTAATACAGAAGGAGCAGATCACGTCTCATAATCAATGCAGTCAGTAGCTTAGAAGCACTTCCTATGTACAATGGATGGGCCGGACTCATCGTACTCCTGCTTGCTGATCCACATCTGCTGGAAGGTGGACAGAGAGGCAAGGATGGAGCCACCGATCCAGACGGAGTATTTCCTCTCTGGGGGAGCGATAATCTTGATCTTCATTGTGCTAGGGGCAAGGGCAGTGATCTCCTTCTGCATTCTGTCGGCGATACCAGGGAACATGGTTGTACCTCCTGAGAGAACAGTGTTGGCATACAAGTCTTTACGAATATCAACATCACACTTCATGATGGAGTTGTATGTTGTTTCGTGGATACCAGCAGATTCCATACCCAAGAAGGATGGCTGGAAGAGGGCCTCTGGACAACGGAACCTCTCGTTACCAATGGTGATGACCTGACCGTCGGGTAACTCGTAGCTCTTCTCCAGTGAGGATGAAGAGGCAGCGGTCTGCATTTCCTGTTCAAAGTCGAGAGCAACGTAACTGAGTTTCTCCTTAATGTCTCTGACGATTTCTCTCTCAGCGGTGGTGGTGAAGGAGTAACCACGCTCAGTGAGAATCTTCATCATGTAATCAGTCAGGTCACGGCCGGCAAGATCCAACCTGAGAATAGCATGGGGAAGGGCGTAACCTTCATAGATGGGCACAGTGTGGGTGACACCATCACCAGAGTCCAAAACAATACCCGTGGTACGACCAGAAGCGTACAGAGACAGAACAGCCTGGATGGCCACATACATAGCTGGAGAGTTGAAGGTCTCGAACATGATCTGGGTCATCTTTTCACGGTTGGCCTTGGGGTTGAGGGGAGCCTCTGTCAGGAGGACGGGGTGCTCCTCAGGTGCAACACGGAGCTCGTTGTAGAAGGTGTGATGCCAGATCTTCTCCATGTCGTCCCAGTTGGTGACGATACCGTGCTCGATGGGGTACTTGAGTGTGAGGATACCTCTCTTGGACTGAGCCTCGTCGCCGACGTAGCTGTCTTTCTGACCCATACCGACCATCACGCCCTACAAACAAGACGATAACATTTGTATCGCTGAATCATTTTAAAAACACAAGGTATAAGGTCCACCAGATTACACAGAAAAATAATTATAATGTTAATTCTATTCCATTCAGGCGAAAATGGCACAGGGCATTACAGCTTGGCTATTTCTTTTTCAAAACCATAAAAGCCAACAATATGGGAGCAAGTAACACGCACACTTAATGCATTGTACACCAGGGCCACCGTTGGGTCGGCGATTATTGAAACAAATATAACCCTTTATTCGATTACTAAGAATAACTAACTAGTTCCATTATTTAGCTTTACTCGTATTACATCAGTCAAACATCTCTCCACACCCTATACACTAGTCCAGTTCGAGACAACGGGCCCCACCAGCTGAATCACGCCACACCTGACCCACAGGTGTCACGTGATCTACCGGCGTATAGTAACTGTGTCAAGTTGCCGGTGGGACGCGAGACAACGTGTGTCCCGTGCAGGTAGCCTCGCGACATTCAATTTGAAAACTGGAGTAAAACGGGCGTACGAAATGTACACACGAAGGACATACGACTTTTCTTGGATTGTACAGAAACCAAGCTTGTGTGGCATATCACCTGATTGACATAATTATCTTAACTGATCGTGTTGTTTCAAATAAATTTTACAACTCTCATAGGAACGACGACTTCAACTTTGCAAACATATTAAACACAGTCAATCATCACAAATGTAAAATATCAAACAAGACCTACATTGGGAATAGACTTAGTGACCACGAAATGTAATCGTGCCGGTATAGTGATGGCTCAGTGCACGGTGGCATATAGAGATGGTACAATCATTCTAAATTGAAAACTTTTAAAAAAAATCAATTCATTAAAGTTACCTGATGTCTCGGGCGACCGACGATGGAGGGGAAAACGGCCCTTGGAGCGTCGTCACCGGCGAAACCGGCCTTGCACATGCCGGAGCCGTTGTCAATAACCAATGCAGCGACATCATCATCCATGGCTAGTTTTTAAGTGTTAGGGTTTACGAGAAGTGATATGCTCCTGACTGAAAGCCGGTCGTGAGTGAATAATTTCGCTTAGTAGCTTGTCTATTTATACCGCCCGACCATGGGTTCTCGGAAAGAGCGCTTGTGATTGCCATATAAGGAAGTTTCATGTCACCATATATGGCAATCCACGCTACAATGAAGCTCGCCCATTGTGATTGAGTGGCTCTTGCTATAAGCGACGAAGGCCAGACCGTGTACAGCAAGGATTGTTACGTGTTCCGTGGAGCGTGGAATCCACGTTTCCTTCTTCATCCAATATGGGCACTGTCGCGATGAATGCATTGTTCTCATTCTGTTTATTATTAGCAGAAAATATGTGTGTTAACCGCCGAGACAAGATTTGTAATATCGATCTCCGAATTACTGGGTCGGCAATCGATATCGTGAGTCACACAAGATTAACACAGGGCGTGACAGGCCAGGGGGTCGAAAGTGCGCACTTTGCAAATATATCCAAGGACTGGGCCCTTCGTTAGTTTGCAAACTAATATTTGGATAATTTATGCGAAGGACATTCAACCTCCACAGTTTAAAGTTTGACACGGTAACAAAGTTGTTTTCAAATATTCATTTCATAATCATATTTCCTTTTGACAACATGTTTCACGACTGGAGATGTGGTATTCATATCAAAACGCTATACGTTGTGAAATACGGATTTCATACCTGGGATTGTCGATTGCACGTTTCCATGGCAACATGTGCCATCTGTCACACAAGCCCATAAGGACAATGGGTTCGCGCAGGGCTGAGTTGGTTCATAGACACAACACAAACACGCAAGTCATGAACCAACTTGTGTTTTATTTTCATGTAACTATACCACTGTTGCAGTGAACATGACCATCATATGGACGATATTTGTCTACAGAAGATGCACCTATTGTCCCCTCCCTATAGCACAATACATACGCACATACTGGGATTGTCTTGCACATTGTATGTCGACTTTCATTTGTTAGATTTCATATACACTCTTAAATATTTTCTTATTGCTTTTTACCAAACCAGATTCTTTGAGAATAAAAATGTATTTAACCAAATATTTTCGTACACTGCATCTCATTACGTGCGCCAGTTGTAAACATGTACGTGTGTTGAAATTTCACTAAAATGAGCTTTGGATAGAATAAGATTATATATTCCTGTGTGTTATTTGAAGTTTAATTTTATTCAAGGTAATAGTCTGGCCATAACTGACCAGGCCTGCATGACTGACCAGCCTGACGTATATGGACCGGGTTCGAGGCTACACGTCAGTTCCTATCCAACTGATCCACGGCCAACAGAGAAGTAGCGACTAGCGAGTGATTACATACTAGTACAACAGTTACATGGAGTGATCTACTAGTGAGCTGGTGTATATACATGGTTCTGTGTCAGTCCCCGCAGTTTACCACCAACCAGCCACGCAGAGGGTCGACAGCTGTGTTCGGTCTGACTGTATGTTTTACTGATCAATTTAGTAGCATGTCAGTTATAAAAAATGCAATGTTGTGTGCAACGTGTCATGAAGTAATCGTGTTCAAATTGAGACTTAAGAAATATTTTGGCGAGTTCTATTTCGGGCTGTTGGAAACTGTTGTAATGCAACCACCTATAAATATTCACAACAGTCCATGCCTGTCCGAAATACCGGGTTGAAAGAGTTGCATGTTTCCCAGGATGTACTGAAATAAGTCGGCACGTATCTGTTGTAAAGTGGGCAGTTGTTGTTGGAATGTAGTATATCATTGTCACTGATGACTGCAAACAGGGGGCACAGCTTCATGTCATACAAACTGCTGGCCTTGTTAATTCATGTACATGTCGAGTAGATATAACGAATCAGTTTTTGTTTTGCCTGACGAATGTACGCGTGGTATATCCTGTGCAATATCCCTGCTGAGAGGGTGATAATATATCATAACGGTCAGTAGGAAGTTGCATGTGGTGTCGATGACGTCACACAGCTTAGGGCTGGCAGCAAGGAATATGGTTGTGTTCCAACGTTACAGTGACACCTATTATCGGCATACACGTTGTTATGTCACGACCGCCCCGGGGATACACGATGAGGGGACCATTGTATAACCATCCGTCGTCACATATTGCGTGAGTAATTGATCGGGGTTCTATATTGCAGATCTGACTACAGAATAAGTGCACTTTATGCCAACGTTATGTAATTGCTATCGAACGCCTCTTCGTCACGATAATTCGTGTTGCTATATGCACCTCGAACATATATGCTAAGGAAGTATTCACCATGCAATTAGTCACGTTTGGCCGATAATTGTATTTTTTCCCTTATCAAAGTTGTTGGCGATGTCAGACTACATATTTCTCAGTAAGGGTTAAACTAATAATCTAATCCACACCGTCAGAGATCTCACTGATCCACACCTTCGACAACTGACCCACGCCATCAGATCTCTCACTGATCCATGACGTCAGAGCTCTCACTGATCCACACCATCAGAGCTCTCACTGATCCATACCGTCAGAGCTCTCACTGAACCACGACGTCAGAGCACTCACTGATCCACGCCGTCAGAGCTCTCACTGATCCACACCGTCAGACCTCTCACTGATCCACACCATAAGAGCACTCACTGAACCACACCGTCAGAGCTCTCACTGATCCACACCATCAGAACACTCACTGATCCACACCATAAGAGCACTCACTGATCCACACCATCAGAGCACTCACTGAACCACGACGTCAGAGCTCTCACTGATCCACGCCGTCAGACCTCTCACTGATCCACACCATAAGAGCACTCACTGATCCACACCATAAGAGCACTCACTGATCCACACCATCAAGAGCACTCACTGATCCACACCATCAGAGCACTCACTGATCCACACCGTCAGAGCTCTCACTGATCCACACCGTCAGAGCACTCACTGATCCACACCATAAGAGCTCTCACTGATCCACACCATCATAGCACTACTGATCCACACTATCACTCTCACTGATCCACACCATCAGAGCTCTCACTGATCCACACCATCAGAGCTCTCACTGATCCACACCATCAGAGCACTCACTGATCCACACCGTCAGAGCTCTCACTGATCCACACCATCAGAGCACTCACTGATCCACATCGTCAGAGCTCTCACTGATCCACACCATCATAGCACTCACTGATCCACGCCGTCAGAGAGATCTCACTGATCCACACCATCATAGCACTCACTGATCCACACCGATCAGAGCACTCACTGATCCACACCATCAGAGCTCTCACTGATCCACACTCGTCAGAGCTCTCACTGATCCACACCATCAGAGCACTCACTGATCCACACCATAAGAGCTCTCACTGATCCACACCATCAGAGCACTCACTGATCCACACCATCAGAGCTCTCACTGATCCACACCATCAGAGCACTCACTGATCCACACCGTCAGAGCTCTCACTGATCCACACCATAAGAGCACTCACTGATCCACCATCGTCAGAGCTCTCACTGATCCACACCATCAGAGCACTCACTGATCCACGCCGTCAGAGCTCTCACTGATCCACACCATCAGAGCTCTCACTGATCCACACCGTCAGAGCACTCACTGATCCACACCATCATAGCACTCACTGATCCACGCCGTCAGAGCTCTCACTGATCCACACCGTCAGAGCTCTCACTGATCCACACCATCAGAGCTCTCACTGATCCACACCATCAGAGCTCTCACTGATCCACGCTCACTGTCCAGAGTCAGCTCTCACTGATCCACACCATCAGAGCACTCACTGATCCACACCATCAGAGCACTCTCACTGATCCACACCATCAGAGCTCTCACTGATCCACACCATCAGAGCTCTCACTGATCCACACCATCATAGCACTCACTGATCCACACCATCAGAGCTCTCACTGATCCACACCATCAGAGCACTCACTGATCCACACCGTCAGAGCTCTCACTGATCCACACCATCAGAGCACTCACTGATCCACACCGTCAGAGCTCTCACTGATCCACACCGTCCAGAGCACTCACTGACCCATGATCCAGTCAGAGCTCTCACTGATCCACATCATCATCACTGAGCACTCACTGATCCACACCATCAGAGCACTCACTGATCCACACCGTCAGAGCTCTCACTGATCCACACCATCAGAGCACTCACTGATCCACACCATCAGAGCACTCACTGATCCACACCATCAGAGCACTCACTGATCCACACCGTCAGAGCTCTCACTGATCCACACCGTCAGAGCTCTCACTGATCCACACCATCAGAGCACTCACTCACTGATCCACACATCGTCAGAGCTCTCACTGATCCACACTGATCCACAGTGCATCGTCAGAGCTCACTGATCCACGCTCTCAGACAGAGCTCTCACTGATCCACACATCATCAGAGATCACTGATCCACACCATCAGAGCACTCACTGATCCACATCGTCAGAGCTCTCACTGATCCACACCATCAGAGCTCTCACTGATCCACACCGTCAGAGCTCTCACTGATCCACACCGTCAGAGCTCTCACTGATCCACACCATCAGAGCTCTCACTGATCCACATCCATCATAGCTCTCACTGATCCGACCTTCCCATCAGAGCACTCACTGATCCACACCGTCAGAGCTCTCACTGATCCACACCGTCAGAGCTCTCACTGATCCACACCGTCAGAGCTCTCACTGATCCACACCATCAGAGCACTCACTGATCCACACCATCAGAGCTCTCACTGATCCACACCATCAGAGCTCTCACTGATCCACACCATCATAGCACTCACTGATCCACACCGTCAGAGCTCTGATCCACACCATCAGAGCACTCACTGATCAGAGCTCTCTCACTGATCCACACCGTCAGAGCTCTCACTGATCCACACCATCAGAGCTCTCACTGATCCACACCATCATAGCACCTACTGATCCACACCGTCAGAGCACTCACTGATCCACACCGTCAGAGCTCTCACTGATCCACACCGTCAGAGCTCTCACTGATCCACACCATCAGAGCTCTCACTGATCCACGCCGTCAGAGCTCTCACTGATCCACACCGTCAGAGCTCTCACTGATCCACACCATCAGAGCTCTCACTGATCCACCATCAGAGCTCTCACTGATCCACACCATCAGAGCACTCACTGATCCACACCATCAGAGCTCTCACTGATCCACACCATCAGAGCACTCACTGATCCACGCTGTCAGAGCTCTCACTGATCCACACCGTCAGAGCTCTCACTGATCCACACCATCAGAGCACTTCACTGATCCACGCTGATCCACATCCACGCCGTCAGAGCTCTCACTGATCCACACCGTCAGAGCTCTCACTGATCCACACTCATCGTCAGAGCTCTCACTGATCCACACCATCATCAGAGCTCTCACTGATCCACACCATCAGAGCACTCACTGATCCACACCGTCAGAGCTCTCACTGATCCACACCATCAGAGCTCTCTCACTGATCCACACCGTCATAGCTCTCACTCACTGAGCTCTCACTGATCCACACCATCAGAGCACTCACTGATCCACACCATCAGAGCACTCACTGATCCGCACCGTCCAGAGCACTCTCACTGATCCACACCATCATCAGCACTCACTGATCCACACCATCATCAAAGCACTCACTGATCCACGCCGATCCAGAGCTCTCACTGATCCACACCATCAGAGCACTCACTGATCCACACCATCAGAGCACTCAGAGCACTCTTCATATCCACGCACAGAGCTCACTCACTGATCCACGCTGTCAGAGCTCTCACTGATCCACACCGTCAGAGCTCTCACTGATCCACACCATCAGAGCACTCACTGATCCACACTGCAGAGCTCTCACTGATCCCACACACCATCAGAGCTCTCACTGATCCACACCATCATAGCACTCTCTGATCCACGCTGTCAGAGCACTCACTGATCCACACCATCAGAGCACTCACTGATCCACACCATCAGAGCACTCACTGATCCACACCATCAGAGCACTCACTGATCCACACCATCAGATCTCACTGATCCACACCGTCAGAGCACTCACTGATCCACACCATCAGAGAGCTCTCACTGATCCACACCATCAGAGCACTCACTGATCCACACCATCAGAGCTCTCACTGATCCACACCGTCAGAGCTCTCACTGATCCACACCATCATAGAGCTCTCACTGATCCACACCATCAGAGCTCTCACTGATCACACCGTCAGAGCTCACTGATCCACTGTCATAGCACTCCACTGATCCACGCTGTCAGAGCTCTCACTGATCCACACCATCGTCAGAGCACTCCACTGATCCACACCATCAGAGCACTCACTGATCCACACCGTCAGAGCTCTCACTGATCCACACCGTCAGAGCTCTCACTGATCCACACCGTTAGAGCTCTCACTGATCCACACCATCAGAGCACTCACTGATCCACACCATCAGGCTCTCTGATCCCACACCATCATAGCACTCACTGATCCACACCATCAGAGCTCTCACTGATCCACACCATCAGAGCTCTCACTGATCCACACCATCAGAGCTCTCACTGATCCACACCGTCAGAGCTCTCACTGATCCACACCATCTCACTGATCCAGCTCTCACTGATCCACTCACTGATCCACGCCGTCCAGAGCTCTCACTGATCCACGCCATCAGAGCTCTCACTGATCCACACCGTCAGAGCTCTCTCACTGATCCACACCATCAGAGCTCTCACTGATCCACACCATCAGAGCTCTGATCCACACCATCAGAGCTGATCCACACCATCAGAGCACTCACTGATCCACACCGTCAGAGCTCTCACTGATCCACACCGTCAGAGCACTCACTGATCCACACCGTCAGAGCTCTCACTGATCCACTCAGAGCTCTCACTGATCCACACCATCAGAGCACTCACTGATCCACACCGTCAGAGCTCTCACTGATCCACACCATCAGAGCTCTCACTGATCCACCGTCGTTAGAGCTCTCTCACTGATCCACATCGTCAGAGCTCTCACTGATCCACACCGTCAGAGCTCTCACTGATCCACACCATCAGAGCTCTCACTGATCCACACCATCATAGCTCTCACTGATCCACACCAT